AGTAATAATAATAATATGAAGAATATAAAACACTTATCAAGCCACTCTTCTTTGTACCGAGCTCTGCTTTATACTAAAGTATTACAACAAAAACTACACAATTAACACTTACATGCGAAAATTAAATTCGCAATACTATGATACACGGACACCATCATATACATTTATAGTATTTATTGTTTAGTAGATGTATAATGAAAAAAGTGATGCGTATTTGACAACTTGATTAATTTATTCTTAATTGTATTCCTTAACAAAATGAAAGTACATTATTAAACAAACGCTTAATCATTATGGATCTTTGGTTTCAAGTTTCAAGTTCGTAAAAAAGACACATTCTCAAGTCTTTTTTCAAGGAATACTTTAATTTAAAAAAAAAAAAAAAAAAAAAAAAAAAAATCGTTTTTTTATTACATTTGGCAATAATATCAAATGATTCTTTTACTGTATGATGATAAAAATTATCTATATAAATCACGTGTGTACAATTAAAATGATAAACAAAAGAATTTGGTAAATTCCGATTTATTTCTTTTTCTTTTTTAGAAGAAGAAGAAATAAATAAAGCTCGTACTCTCTAAATTCTTGAAAGTGAAAAACATACTTTTCACCTTTTTTTGCACATTTCAAGTATACGCGTACATAACAGAGTGGCTCAGTAAAGATTCTCACCGATACACATAAACCAAATAACAACTTGCGAAGCTGAAAAATTCGTCAACAATTAAAAAATAAAAAAAAAAAATAAAAGTAAAAAAAAAAATAAAAAAAAAAAATTAGAGAAGATAAAAAGGTACAAAATAGAGGGGGTGGGGGGAATAGTAAAAAAACAGAAAAATGAAGAGACATTTACTTAAGAATTCAGAGAGCATACCTTATTTTTGTTCGTACACGTACAAGAGTGCGAGAAATAAAATCCGTGAAAAAAGTGCGAATTTGCGATTTTGTGTGTGATTGTGTGCTTTGGAGGTGGGAGAGAAGGTAGTAGAAGATATCCCCCATAGGCAATCTCTTTCCGCGCTACTCTCGCAAATCCCCAATTGTTATCAATCGACGATTGACATAGCTTCGAACTGCGTCAAGGGTAGATTGTCGTCCGCGCGTTGAAAGCGAAACCTCCTCAGGCATTGGGCTCGGGACCTTAAGGCTACACGACAACAACACCAGCAACGTCTACATGACATCGACAAAGAATTCACAGGGATTGCCCATCGCAATGCGAAATGACTGTCTACTACCAGATAGATCTTGCTGATTCTGCTGCTGTTGTTGTTGCTGTTGTTGTTGTTGTTGTTGTTGTTGCTGTTGCTGCTGTTGATGTTGTTGTTGCTGCGGTTGTAGTTGGATGCCGAGGCCGAGGCCGAGTCCGAGACCGACACCGACGCCGACGCCACCGCTGCCGCCGCCGCCACTGCCACCACCTCCACCTCCGGAACCGGTCCCCGTCTGCACCGACTGCTCGGAGCCACTGCTACGACTTCGGCTGCCATTCGATCGCTTGCCGTTGGAGCCGCTCCCGTTGCCGTTGCCGCTACCGATACCCGTCGTCACTGTCATCGCCGTACTCTTCGGCATTGCCGGCACCACCGGCATCTGCAGTTCTGATTCAGAAGCAGAACAACAAGACTTTACATCATGTATGGGCGCCTTGAATATATGATCGCTACCCGCGCTGCTCCCTCCTATAAAAGTATAGAGAAAAATTTCGTCTTGACGCTTTCGTTGATAGCCGCTCGTTCGGAACCGCCCATCTTTATAATCCCCGTCCGTTTAAAATTTCCTTTCTATACTTAAACGCGCTTGGTATAAAGCGAGTGCGCAATACAACTTACTGCTCCTCTGCCAATTATGATTAAGTATTTGCCTTCACCACACCACACGACTCTCAAAGCTCTAAGAATCGCTGCCCCATACCATTATATCGAGTACGCCATCTAATTTCACTATATAAAAAATAAAAGGGCTACGTAAAGTTTTGAGTGCAATAGATCGAATGAAAAAGCAACAGCAGCAGTAGTGGTAGCAGTGATAATAATAATAGTAGTAGTAGTAGTGTTAGTGGTAGTGGTAGTGATAATGATAATGATAGTGATAAAGGTAGTGGTAGTGGTAGTGATAATGATAATGATAGTGATAAAGGTAGTGGTAGTGGTAGTGGTAGTGGTAGTGGTAGTGGTAGTAGCAGTGGTAGTAGTTGTGGTAGTAGTAGTAGCAGTAGCAGTAGCAGCAGCAGTAGCAGCAGCAGTAGCAGCAGCAGCAGCAGCAGCAGCAGAAAATTTAATACTTGAGACTAACTTGGCTAATAAGCAAAAATTTCATATATTTGAGGGAATCTCCAATTTCCACCACCAATATTATAAGTTTCAATACCTTGTCAATTCCACGTCTTGAATGATCTATTATTTTAAATTGCAGTAATGCTCAAGAACCATCAATTCCATAATTATAATTATATTATGCATGCTAAGAGCCATTTTACCTTAAGCCTACATTATAAAATGTATGTAACATCAATAATATTTCATCTGTTTAGACTATCTGTTTATTATTCATTAGCACGATATCGTAATTAGAAATGCATTATAAATTTACTCAATGTATTTTTTTACAAAACTGTCGCTGAAAATTATAACATTAGCATTAGCATTAGCATTGCATTGGTAGTTAAGCTAATAATTATATAGTTGATAAACGCGAGGGCTGCATTTATCTCACGCTATGCTATTCAATCAAAATATTTATTTTTAGTGGGCAAATTTAATCGCGATCGTAAATTCTTTTAACTACGGAACGATTTAATATATAATACATAAGCGAAGAGGATAAATTTATTATCTTAATATTATGTCCTTAAAATTTAACAACATTCGGACTATTTTAAAAATAAATAATATGCCGCTTGTTACCGGCATTTTACGATCATAAATAATTCCTTTGGATTTCCTAACAATTTATACCCAAAAGATAAATAGCGTTTCATAATTAACATAATAATACAAATAATACAATAATAATATAAATATAATAATTGCACGAGAAAAATTAAAAATTGGAAAAGTTATTTAAAAATTTTTCTTCTCTTGCTAAATCGAATTCCCTTTATTCATAATTTTATTATTAACGCACATCTTCAACAAGCATATTAAAATAATTTATAAATATCGATTAACTATTTCATAGAACGTAATATAGCGGATAGTTGATTTTATTTTATATAATTAAAATTTTTGTTTAATTACGCACTTTGATTATCCGATTTGATTATTAAAATAATGATAATTTCATTAACGAAGTGATTTCTTCCGTTATTTTCAACATTCATTGATCCATCATTTTTTCTAAATAGCGACCAACTCCTAGAAGTCGTTGGCTATATTTTTTTTAACTTAAATATTGTTTATTCTTATTAAACGACCGATCGTTCATTAAGTTAGCTTATTATATAATTATAAATTGAAGAGAAAAAAAAATATTATAACATATTATATTAAATTAATAGAGTAATAAACTCTTTAAATTGATCGATTAAGACACGATTTATGTGGCAAACACGAGTAATGAAATATATTAGATCCCCGCGCTATTATAATATTATATTGAATTATTATAGATAAGACGAAATTTTTTGCACAGATTTTCACAAATTTTATAATGTATTATATAATGTATTATTTATATGTAAATTTTTAAGATAAGCAGCTAATTTACTACCATAAAATATCTTTTATAGGTACTTTCACATTTTATTATTATTATTTTAATACTATTTTTCAGCACGATGTTTTATTAAAAAAAAAAATTAGACAATAATACAAATAAATCTGTAATACGTGTGGCCAAAGTATACAAAAATTACCGTTATAAGTGTAAAGTTAATTTTCGTCCATATCAACAGCTAAAGCAGAACTTTCTATATTAAATTAGGTCTTTGTTTAACGCTATGGGGGGAAAAAAAGAAATGAAAAAAAAAAAAAAAGAACCACGGCTCTATTCCAATGCAGATTCGGATAAAGTAAATTTTATCAAGTGAAGGTATAAGAGAGTACGACAATCTGCGAGATCGCTGTGCATCAATACATTATTCTACAAGTGCGCATAGTCTAGCCAATAATGAATGTGCATGTTAAAGTGCCGTAATCTCGAAAGAAATCAATCCCCCATCCATTCGTCTATTCAAAGTCCACGTTCATTCAGTCAGGAGAATACCTGAACCACTGTGAAGACTCTCCTCGCGATGATAGCCGTAGACCGTTGGCTCGTTAGTGAAGTTGAAGGGCATGGGACTGTAGCCGGTGGCCGTATGGGGCGCGTAAGTCCCGGAGTAAGGCATGTCCCAAGCGCTCGGCGGTGGCAGTGGCCCGACCGTGTCGCAGTCCAGCTTCATATTGCTCATCGCCGAGCAGAGATCTCCGAATATGTAATAGCACTGCTCGGAGAAGGTGATCTTGTTGACGGTGTGCCTGATGAAGCCGGCCTTTAGCATCAGCGAGGCATACTTCCGAGCGTCGCGCCTACAATCGGATATAGCATGGTTCAATTAGATAACGACTCGTTTCAATTTTTTCACCGCATTCATGCGTTTGCGAACGAAACGAATTATCCAAGTAAGATATGCTGAAAATCTGTTTTGAAATAAATAAAAAAAAAAAAAAAACAAAAACAAAAACAAAAACAAAACAAAAAAATAACCAAACAAACAAACAATGTTGTCGAAAGCCAAGTATTTAAATAAAAAAGTATAAATACTGGAAAACAGATTTTAAGCAGATTTTAAATTCAACGGAGGGGAAATATGAAAGCCGAATATTGGATGGATAGAGCCTTTGTAAATAAAAACATGTGGTAAAGAGTGTCGATTTGATAATACTGACCTGTCTATAAAGCCCTTCACGTGCGTGTGAAGCCAGTCAACGACGTCTGCTCCGATGAAGGCATTGGGTATGGTGATTTTGAGCCACATGCGGTCGCGTATCTCGAGGCCCGAGTCCGGTCGAGCCATGGCTCTTACAATCGTTGGCATTTCTGTATTTACGGACAAATCTAGCTCGTCGAAGGGCCCTGAGAACAAATGCATTACTGCCTTTTTAGTAATATTGCCGATTCTATCAACATCCCGACCAAAGATATTTCGGGAGTTTGCCTTCTCAAATCATTGGAATGCGTAGCTTTTCGCGCCGGATTCCAGCTGATTGACTTTTCCAAGTATGAAATGTCCTGTTTCGCATGCATTCATTTTATTTCTACGAAATTTTTATTTATTTTTAATTTACACATTCACTTTGTCCTTTTACACTCAATATGATTTCGCTTATTATTGAGATATTATTCGATTTGAAAAATTTTTTTCCTAACGAATCGATGAATATTTGAATTCTTATTTACATATTAGATGCGTAAATCATAATGGAAGATCAACTAATTTAACTAAGTATGATTTGTTTAACTGCTTATTATTATTTGTTGTTCAATAACGAAATATCATGTATAATAAAAGACAGCGATTTTTTTTAATTATTATTATTGTTATTTATATATTACAGTATTACAGTATAATGTTACGGATTATTTTTCAATCGTGAACATTTTTATTTATTTATTTATTTTTATTTTTATTTTTTTTTTTATTTATTTATTTATTATTTTTTTTTTTTTTTTTTTTGTTAAGAACATTATTGTTATACAAAATTATACAAAATTGTTATACAAAATTGAATCTTAAAATGAAAGTCAGTAAAAACTGGCTTAGGAAGTCTGCAAAGAGATAAGAAGTAAATAATCGAGTCACAAATTGAATAAAAAACGACTTGATACAAGTATATAGAAGAAGAAAAAAATACGTGTTATTTGCAAGCAATACTAAGCTATGATTGAGATTGGTAAGGAATGAAAGAATTATTTAATCCAAGTTATTTTAAATAAGGATTGATAAACTATAATTGCAGCAGTAGAATATAAAGGAAAAGAAAAATGAAAACAATACAGTACTTTAAGAGATATTAAATTATAATGAATGCCGCAAAAGCAGCATAAATATATTTTTAGAGAGGCAATTCAATCATAAAAGCAATAATATAAATGATAAGATTTGATAAGATAGGTAACAAAATTTTAATATAAAATAACTGAAAGAAGAAAAAATGCGATAAAAATTATTAAAAAAAAATATTGGAAAACAATTGAAATTGAATTGGCCTATATAGTATTCATTTATCTTTGGAATTAATGAGAAAATCGGAAAAAAAAAGAACAATAAATTTGGAAAAGCATTTGATTAATAACGAAACGACAATTATATTTCCGTGCAATATATTACAAATGTTACAGATTTGAGAACATTTATACTGAAAAATTCAGATTTAAAGCTTATACAGGCGCGACCGATCGAAGCAATCGATAAATCTTAATTATTAGGTGTTTATGTATATTGTAAGGTGAGAAAGGAGATGGAAAAGAGAGGCAACAAACATAGCAATAAAAATAATCGGCGAAACGTTGTGCATAATGAACAAATGCAAGAAAACTAAAATACGGAAAGCGTAAAGGTGGTTGAAGAAAGGTAACTTACGCTCGGTATCGGGTAGCGTACTGGCCAGACTGCTCGAGGTAGAGGTAAGGGTCGTCGCACTAGGCGGTCGAGGTGGGAAGCCCTCGCCCCTGATGGCCGCTGTGTGTGCCACCCAGGCGCCAGGGTCAATTGGTCGCACGGGTTCCGTCCGCGGAATCGTGAAGTAGCCCTTGGGATTTGGATCCCAGCACTTGGCCACCACCAATTTTATCGGCCTAAGACAATGCACAATGCACCAATGGATCAGCGCTCCTCCCCCAATACATTAATTGGCCCTTATCTTAACGATTTGTCAACTTCCATTTCAATATCGGTACTGAATGCAATTTATCTGCAACTTGATTTACGGCCACGAATTTTCGATACCTCCTATGCTTATGTTTATTGCTTTTTCTTTTATTTTATCTTTAGAAAATCTCTTTCCAAATATATAATTGAGCCCAAAAGCTCAGCATTAAACGAAATTTAGCTTTGTAGACGGGGTTCGAGCTATTTTATTTATTATTGAACTTATATTTTTCAATATTTTCACAATCATTTAATTATTTAATTATAATATTTAACTACGCATAATGTATGTATATAATAGTTGTTATTACTGACCAGAGCAATCGTGACAATTATTGGTTTGCTTGAATGGTTTTTTTCTTTGTACTATCGTGTGTAAAATCATTGTGATAACGATCGAGGCTTAATTATATTTCTAATAATAATATCCGCTTTAAGCTTATGTATTTATAAATATTCATGATTTTAAATACATACCCTGGCTTTTGTACAACCTCGCGCAGCACTCGTACCGCTTCGTCATTGGACATATTCTCGAAATTTATATCATTCACTTGAAGTATCATATCGCCTGGTTCTATACGGCCATCCAGGGCCACTGCACCACTATTTGTGAGAAAAGAAAAAAAGAAACAAAAACAAAAAATAAATAAATAAATAAATAAATAAATAAATGAAATCGTTACAAGCGATTGATCAAGTATTCACAGTTTACGATATCTCTAACGGAGACATTGCAGATAAAAATTGATGGTGTCTCATCGTAACAATCAATTTATGATTTAATTTTCTATATAGTCGTTGATAATAACGAAATATCGAAATGTAAAAGGAGAATTATTCAACACCTCGTTCAATTCCGTAAATAGATCTTTTCTTTACCAATGAGAGACCTTTAAGTATAAATAACATAGACTTTGAAAACTTTTGCTTATTCAGATAATAAGAGCTCTGTACCAAACGAGATAATTAATTTTACAGAACTGCTGCGGGAGGCCTACTACGCAATTTGCGTCGATCGTTACTAAAAATTTCAATCGATAATTACCCTTTCATAATTGAACCAACGTAGATTCCACCATCGCCGCCTTTGTTACTTTGTCCTACGATACTAATACCGAGAAAATTGACAGTGTCCATATTTAACGAGACGGTTATAATATTAAGGGACATTGTGCTATCTGTAATACTGCTGAATGAAGATGTCCTAGACATTGGTGGCAACCTGTGTCGTCGACGCCTCTGCGGTCTACGTCGATCTGTCAATTAATAAAAAATAATATTATTGTCGTACGTTCGTTCAGTAACAAAAATATGTCTATCGATTAATCTTTATTTATGAGACGATAGGATTTTTAATTATCTACCAACGGCTCAATAATTACACATGCGAATTGCAGAAGCAAATTAAACGCACACGTAACTTTTCATTGTACTCAATTGTATGAAATTATCGATTCAGATGGAGGCAAACCATAATACCCCGTAATACCTCGCGATCTCTCCCTACCTCCCCCTCCCCTCCCCTCCCCTCCCCTCCCCTCTATCCCTCATGCTCGAGAAAAATAATTCAGCCAAAATAATAAATAATTTACCAAGCGTTGCTCGATCAACTGCACTACTCATATTGGTGTGCCTTCCGGTTGTCGAGGTTATACGGCTACTGGCGTCATCGTCCGATTCTAAGAATGTCGTCGTTTCCAGGTCGGAGCTTAAAATTGATGCTGTTTCGTAACCAAGCGTTGATCGATGTTTCGAATGGCCATTTATGCGCAAGCCTGCAAGAGGAAAACGATTTTTATGCCAAAGAAAGAGAAAAGTGACTCGGTGAGGATGGTAATGGCCATTGCGCAATATATTACCATTGTATTTGTTATATTTTTCGTATTTGTCCGCGTGGTGCCTCGACGATTTGTGCAAGTGATGACCCTGCCTGCTGCTAATGATGCTCTCGGTCTCGGTGAGGGTATCGTCGTGGGACAGAGACATCGGGGCTCGATTCGTATGACCCGGTGTCACGTGATCCACTCTGTCGTGCTTCGGGTCCTGATGTGGCACCGTGTCCGTGCACTGGGACGCGCCATCCGATACGTTGCTGCCCTCCGCCGAGACGAGCTGCAATTTACGGGTCGTTCGCATTAGCATTATTGGGCTATTGCATTTGGTCAATAATAAGTTTACTCGGTGGCCGAGCAATATTTACCCAGGAGACGACTCGGCCATTGAAGCAGGGAAGATGCGCGTCGTCGTCGACGATCTCCTCTTTCACGACGCTAAAAATGACACGTGATACATTAGTTTAAAGGCTAATAGTCATTGGCGATTGAGCGACGGATCGATATTAATCGCCAATGCATTCGAGAGACTGTTTACGTCTACGGCTTAATAAACATTCACATTTCAATCAATAAATCGTAATTGTAAAAGAATATTCCATGTATAGTTAAGCTTAATATTCTACTTAAAAAAAAAAAAAAAAAAAAAAAAAAAAAAAAAAAAAAAAAAAAAAAAAAAAAAAAGAGAGAGAGAGAATAATCGTATCTATAGCTTAAAACTAATGATAATTTTAATTGACATTCGCATGGGTGGAATGAGATTAATTAATTCATCGAGAGATTGAGGATCTGTATAAATTAATTTGTTGAATAGTTATTGATATCTAATGGCTATATGTATGAGACGTCAACTCCATAACGATAGATGCAATTGGGAAAATATTAGCCTGTGAAAGATAGTTTTTTTTTTTTTTTTTTTTGAAAGCAAAGAAGAAAAAATAAAAACAAAAAAAAACAATCATTTAAAAGATAACAAACGTGAGAATGTACATTTACTGTAATTAATAATGCAGTATGTATTTGAATGTGCATGCGCACACCCACGACCTGTCGGCGACAGACATACAAACCATAAATAATTAATTAAAATATCCGTATGACATCTTCGTATTAAAAATCTCTTGCTCAAGCAGTTAATAATAAAGTTGAATAAATTCAATTTAATCGACTACCTTACTACCAGAATTTGTATAGAGTAAATTTTTTCATATATAGTTTTGTAATTTTAGTCGGCTACACTTACTGAAAATACTCGATAATTATTATCATAATACTTTACAAAACTTTTTCGACTATCACGTACGCTTATTCTATATTCAATAAATGTCTAGGCTCGTCAATATAACAACAAAATAATCACAATAACAATATCAATAGCAACGGTTATAATAAAAGAGAAAAATAAGAATTCAAAAGCTCATACATTTTATATAAAAGAGCGAAAAATAAAGGACATGTGTATTAAATATTCATCAAAGATAAAAGAAATTCGCATTCGTTCCGCTTTATCAACATGAAAGCTATCCTAGAAGAAGAAGAAAAAATAACTCCTGAATTCTATTTGTGAAAAAGGAAAGGTAGGTAGAAAGGTAGGAAGGCTGGATGGGAGGAAGTAAAAACGAGATAAAAGTAGAGCACAAAATTTCTCCCATTTTTTTTTTTTTTTTATCTCCAACGCGCACAGCGAACTACGTCATTGATAGGACTTACAGTTCGACGACTTTTTTCACCACATAAAAACAAAAGCGTCCCACCGACGAATAGATCTGCCCTGGCATACGTCGCTCGAGCGTGGCAATGTATTTCGCCGCAAAAAAAAAAAAGGGGGGGGGGGGGGTGGAGGAGTGAAAAAAAAGAAGGAAACCCGAGGGGGTTAAGACGAATTTTTTGCGCTCATTAAAACATTACATTTGAGCGGACGCCCAGCGTTTAATATGCACACATTGATACGAACGCGTGGAGCTTTTAAAGACTGCGCAAACGTCGCGTCAGGTGGTGGCAAAACAAAAGCTAAAGGTCAAAGCGTTTTCACATCCCTCCGTCACTCCCTCCCTCGCTCCATCGCTCCCTCCGGCCACCCCCACTCACGCGACTTCTCGACACCCTTCTTTTCCGAAAAAAAAAAAACAAACAAACAAACAAACAAACAAACAAACAAAACAAAATACAACAAAACAAAGAACACGATAGAGCGAGGGTGAGTGAAAAAGATAAATAATAAGAAAGAAAAAAAAGGAAGAAAAAAAAAGGAGAAGAAACGCTAGAGATCAAAAGAGCCGGAGAGCTCGTATCAGCTTTGGCATCTCTACCCTCCCGTACACACAGGGGATGTGTGGGCCGCTGGGGATGGGGGAAGGAGCAGGAAGGAGAGGAAAGCTCGAGCGAATATCTCGTTGCTTTCGTGTATCAAGCCCCTTGCGCACGCTCAAACGGTACGATCACAAAGAACGCGGAGACAAATATTCGCTCAACGCATGTGAAGTCGAATGAAAGGAGTAGGACTCGCGAATGCCGGCTTCGCGCGCCGCTCCTCCTCTCCATCTTTATTCGCCTCTGCACGCACTTGGGTGAATGCCACTAGAGCCGAGCTACGGTAAGGAACTCCTCGGCCAAGATATGCCACTAGCATCCCAATTAAAACGCAGCTCTCGCATTCCTTTGAGCATTCATTTTGACATCGACGGAACGCACAAGACACGCCGCGCCCATCGCTTGTCCCACGTCCGACGACTCTCCCTGAACGCTTAACGCACCCTCCTCTCGTTTCCCGGATAAGTGCGTCGGGGGGTTGTTGCCGAGGAGGCCGAGTCCCGGCCGTAATGCCCGCTTACGCAAGAGCAGCCAGTACCGGTAATAACCGAGCTCGCGTCTTGAGCGGAAAAACGAGGTGTTAATGGAAGGGGGCATTGTGATTCCGGGAGGGGGCGGAGGTGGGGGTGCGAAGCTCGTTCGCCCGTCAAGCTTTAATTTGTAGCCGGCGGTAGCATTTCCTTTACGCTTTTCGACATTCATTTACGAATTAAGCTTCAATAAATTATTATTATTGTGTTATTTAATTGTGTTTTAGTTGTGCCTTAGCTGTACTTTAGCTGTACTTTAGCTGCTCGCGTTCCATGTTGTTTGAGATTTCTCTTTCAATGTCTCATTCAGTTCGCTGCGATCCTACGCAACTGTTTATTGATAATTTAACGCTACTTTAACGAAAATTTATATGAGAATAATAATTGCTCTTAAATCAAGCTCGCGCGTTGAGATATTTAAGGCTTTCATCGAGTCTGCGACAGTCCGTTAAAAATAAATGAAATCTTGTCAATCACTAATAGATTATACGAAGAAATTCGTAATGGAAGTGTCGCTCGTTGTCGAATCAATGCGTGATACGTCGAATGCTAATTATTATTCATCGTGTGACAATGATGACAATATATCTTCCATATCTTTTGTATTTTCATTCATTTTCATCTATCTAATGACAATTTTTTAAAGTAAATAATAAATAAAATAAAACAAAAACAAAAAAAAAAACTCGTCTCTATTGTCTGTACGATACTTTATTATAAATCATTATTTCGTAAGAAACTTCGAGTATAGATTTAAAGTTTACTGAAATTATCTTGAACAATAAAAACCGTTGAACTTTTTATAGTGTTAATGCACGTGCATACAAGCTATGACCAGCGATTTTTTATTGTGCGCGTGCACACAAAATTAATATTACTCACTATCTCATAAGTAAATCACGCTATTCCATTTATCTGCTTTATCGTATGTAATTGTTATAAGAGTAACAGTTTAATCCTATTAGGCGATAAATAATTAATTTTAGAGAGTAAGGAATTAATTGATACATTATTACATAATTATAAATGTTAATTAATTTGTTGTTATGCTTAGGCATGGAGTACATGTGTGCACATTTATATTAACACATCTATGAAGTCCGTGATGCCTGTTTTTACTACTGAAATAGCGTCTATTTTCGTAAATTATAATTGCAGTAGCATTATTTAAATGTTTCGCTTCCTGTTACAAGCCATATACACTAAGCACTTCCTGCATTTTTTTTCTTCTTTTTTTTTTTTAATTTAATGCTTAATTTTATTAAAACAAAAAACAAAAACAAAAAACAAAAAAAAAAACAACAACAAAAAAACAAAAAAAAAAGGTAGTTTAAAAACGTTTACTAGCAAAACATTAAATATAACGTGAAAACATCGACTGTGTATTTTGTAAATTAACAGACACAAAGGGAAAATTTTTATATATAAGATTGATTGGAATTATATTAAGAACAATAACTGGGATTATGGAAATAATTAAAAAATATTGTTCTTAATAAACAATACACTGTTTTTAGAAATTATTGAATGGTGTGTGCAAGTACGCGAGTGGCCACATGTTGTGTATAATCAATACAAAATTAATTGCAGAATTTAGATTTTTTTTCCTTCTCAGCCTTTTTTATATTTATTGCTCATTCATAATTCTGATGCAAATATATACTACCTCCATTTAAATACACATACATATGCACGAGGATATTTTATCTCAATGTAAATAATTCATATTTTCAATTATCAATTATCAATTTTGTAATTTATCCTATTATCCTCCGTAAAAATTTATTTTTGATTGACATTTTTCTCTAAATTTCATGTCTTATGTAATAACTTTGATTACAAATTATTGTCCATTTATAATAAGTAACTATTATTATATATAAAATATATTATATTCGTATTATTGAATTGAGTGAATTTCCACATAGTGTGTAAATCTTAAAATAAAAGTTGCCAAAGCTTTCTCGAAAATCTGGAAACCCAATAAAATGGTACTCTCTATACATTTGAGTAAATTCAATGTTTTTAATAACAATAAGATTTTACAGTTTAGCATTTTTAGAAATTCATTGTACACAAAATGGAAATACACAAGGATTTTTAATTGATTAAATTATTAATTGAATAAATTGTGTCAATGAATTATTAGCATATGTTGGTTATGCAATTTCGAAAGAAAAAAAAAAACATTTGCATATTATTTATTGCTTTCTAAAATTTATTGATCTACTTTTAATTGATAATTGGCCTTACTTAAATTCAAAATTCTTAAGTTTCTTTCTTAAATCAATAATCGATAATCAATTAATAGAAAAAACAAAAATAAAGTATATTCTAGAAGTTAATTAAGTTCAAAGAATAATAATTTTTTACTATAAATATACATTTAATGATTTTTCGTCTTTCTTAGTAATTGAAATTCTTGCTGTATAATACAAGTATCGTTAACTTGTTGAAACTAAGCATCGTTACTTGCTTCAATTAAAAAAAAATTTGATTATTCTCTTTTTGTTCCTTAAAACTTGATAAATGATCTATGATATACAATATATATATATATATATATAGGTTATGTACATTTATACATGAATAATTAAATTTCAAATTTCATTTTAATTAATTGTTTACAATTGGTATTATATACTTTGTTACTTCTTCATTAAGAATGAATGATACGTAGTATAAATACTGCTATTACAAAGATAACAATAATTATTATTTTATTTTGAAATTTATCCAATTAAACAGTATTTTAATCTTATGGCAATTAGGAAAAGAAATACAATGGCCATCTAAAAAAAAAAAAAAAAAAAAAAAAAAAAAAAAAAAAAAACAAAAACAAACAAACTTTTCTCGATAGTTTATATTCAGTGCACAGTTAGTCGAAAGAACAGAATCTACAGAGTTGAAGTATAGTGTTTTTTATGGCGTTACTCCACGTCATGAAAAAAGCAGCAGAAATAGGCACGTGAAGGCGTACGAATGAAGTTAAGTAGCTCATCAAGTTTTCATATTTCCATAAATAAATTTATGTAGCGAGTTATTTTCTAAAGGGATATTCATTGTTCGAGTGCTAATAAAATAGATATTTGTATTGTATGTAGATAGAAGAATTTTTTTCTTACGTTCATATATAGTATCATATAATTGAACGGAAGAGCTAAAATTAATTTAAAACACACACACACGAATATTTTTACGTACATTTTAGATAAATATTTTTTTAGTCTAACCAACTATCAACTAGACTATATTTATTCATTAAAATAGCAATAATATTGACAATAAACGATAATCTTCCTTTTAATATTGTATTTAAATTAAGCAGACATTAAAATATTAGCTCATTAATTATGAGCTGTAAATGGATGGATGAGTTTGTTTTAAAAAATATTTAAATAAAGTCGATACACAGCATTGGTTACACTTATTCAATCGTTGAATATTTCGATTCCCGAACAATTGAGTTATGCAAAAATTTCTTCTTTCTAATATGACTAATTTTAGGCCTATTTAAGAGACAGATAGAGAGAGAGAGAGAGAGAGAGAGAGAGAGAGAGAGAGAGAGAGAGTAAATGGTTTTCTCATTATATAACAGTTTAAATTGAGGAGGCGCAAATTTTGAAATTTAATGTCAAAATCCTATTGAAATAACACGTTTATAAGGTTGATTTATCAGTATATTCAAAATTCTTTCCAAATGAGATTAATAGAAAGTCGGCAATTAATTTTTTAACTATTACATGTCCATTTTCGCAAACATGTCTTAAAAAATATTTGGCTTCTTTTAACTTTAAGAATTAGTGGTTTCTTGTCCATACAACAAAAAAAAAAAAACGCTTAAAGATGCTAAAACTCTTTCGATATACATCTCGAGAGAAAGTATCGTTGAGATAGGATTGAATTACAATTATTCGTCGTCGTCATCGTCATCATGAATTTCAGTTGTAAGGCTTTATTTAAATTCCAGTACGATTCCCGAGAATCGCACTCTCGCAACTACGATTACGAACGACAAGTGTATGAGATGCCACGATCGGAAAAATTATTCCAGCATAAAAGGAGAAATCAATGAGAAGAACAAAGGTACGAGGATGTCTCGAGAATGTCTAAAATGACAAAAAATGCTCGGCTAAATCGCAGTCGGGCACTCTCGTGAGCCTGGCAGATGTAGCAAGTAAGCAAGCAAGCAAGGAAGCAAGCAAGGAAGCAAGCAAATAAACAACAATCAAACAAATAAGCGTATAGAAGAGAGAGAGAGAGAGAGAGAGAGAGAGAGAGAGAGAGAGAAATGTATAAGTAAGCCGCACGCACGCACGCGCGCACTCACTCACCCAAAATCGTCGTCCATCGACTTGAAAAAGTACTTGTAGTTAGGCCTGTTGAGAACATTCTTAAAGTCAGCAAGGGTGACCCTTTCCGGCGAGATATTGAGTTTGACGAGATACGGCGTTTCCTCGTCGTCGATATGATAGATGATCTTCGTCTCCTCCATGGCTTGTCCCCCTCGGCTTTCGAGCGCCCGTTGTATATCCGTGAATATAAGGGGACGTAGATGGTGGAGAAGGGCGGGACGGAGGGAGGGAGGGAGAATTAGAGAGAGAGAGAGAGAGAGAGAGAGAGAGAGAGAG